AATAATTATATTAATGTGAGTTCTTAAATAATGCCCTTAGGGCATTCGCTAGCCTGTCCCTTGAAGAAAAACCAATACTGTAATTTAAGAAGCTGAAAGTCAAGGTGTAGTGCAAACTGCAAAGTGCTAACGACTGTCTGTCTGCTCTTTTTATTTTCATGCATTCATTCTTTCATAGTTTCATTTGCTTGCATTTACACAGGTTTTGTTTAAATATATTTGGGAATATGATGGCATCCAAAGTGTTTTGTCTCATCCTTTTTTATCCATATTTATATAACTTTTTTTTTTTGCATGCTATCCATCTGTTTTTGTAGTACTAAACCTATAATGTGGATTGGTGTATGTGTTTGTGGCTTTCTCTATTACTACCAAGTATTCCAATATTATTATTTTTAATTCTTGGTTGATGGTTTCAAGAAGAATTGCTTTTTTTTAAGAGTTGAGTTAGCCTTGTTACTGAGTACTATCAAACAATACATATAAAAAATGTGGATTGGTGTACCTGTTTGTGGCTTTCCCTGTTACTACCAAGTATCCATTATTTGTTTTAGTTCTTGGTTTGATGGTCTTCAAGAAGAATTGTTTTTTTTTATTTTATGAGTTGAATTAGCCTTGTTTTTAAATGATATCGAACTGCTCAAATAAGAAAGCGGGTACAATGGACTTACCAATCGGTTTCGGAGGTAGCTAATTTGTAATGCAATTGTGGATTGCTAGAGTGAGTTGGTTAAAAATTGTAAGAAATATAATTTCATTCTTCTTTCTATTAAAGCATCTTGTACCGTATTAAACACACTATAAATGATTGTAACTGGACACTTTTGGTTTGGAACAATTTTCAAACCCTCTGACAGACATTCTACGTTTTTATCACTTGGTCTTCTCCTCTCCAAATTATCACAGTTTATCCTTTACACATATGTTCCCCTGCTTTCCATTCTTGTCTGCTGCGTCCCAGTTCTTCATAACCATCTTGAAATTAAGCATAATGTTTTACATCACTGTTGTAACTGGACACTTTTGGTATGGAACAATTTTCAAACCCTCTGACAGACATTCTACGTTTTTATCACTGAGGTTTTTTTCTCTCCAAATTATCACAGTTTATCCTTTACACATATGTTCCCATGCTTTCCATTCTTGTCTGCTGCGTCCCAGTTCTTCATAACCATCTTGAAATTAAGCATAAGGTTTTACATCACCGACTTTTAAAAGTGAAACATTCCAAAATGATGAGAAGTTTGTCTTCCAATTAGAATTTTACAAAAACATATTCTTAAAAAAACATGAACACTGTCCGTAGGTATATAAGATGAGTTTGAACTTTTAAGCTGACAAACATGCTGGTTTTAGTTTTCCTTCCTAACATGTAGATTCCTTTGGTTTTTACCAGATACTGTTTCATAAAACAGTAATTATCTTATGTCAATCTGTAAACATGCTCTTCTGCAAAGTAAATTCCTTTACTACATTGTAAAATTTTTCAACTCCTTTCAATTGCCATTTTTGCTGTTCTGTTGCTGATAGTATCTCATGTGAGAAGGTGGTTTCAAAGGGACAGTTTGAGTTATCTGTGAAGGATCCCATCAATTGTTTTCTTGTTCAGTTGAATTATATGTAAAGGGAAGCCTAGTGCTAGAGGGCTCCTGTTATGGCAGGGTTTAAGGAAAGGTCAATCCCATTGTTTCGAGTCTACAATAGGCAGTCTACACTCTTGCATGGGTTTTTTTGCACACATAAGATAAAGGTCAATTGCATATAATTCAGTTCATTTGAATTATATGCTAAAAGAGTTATATGCTTACAGAATTATGCTAGAACAACTCTCTAACACTCTTTTGTACACTCTTTTATTGGTTGAAATTCATAGAGTCCCATATGTGGGGCCAACATGATTTAATGAAATCCATTTGAGTTTCAACCAATAAAATAGTGTCTTAGAAAAAGCATGTGTTGCTAGCACTCATATTTAACAATTGCTTCATTTGTGTTTGGGAAATGATTTGTAACACAAGACGTGACAGTAGTAGTGTGTAGGGAATTGTCTAACTGGAGTATATGTGGCAGTAAATTATCCATTGCTTTCTAAATCTGATGCTATGCCACTTCACTATATATGGAATTGATATAGATCAGTGCATGTTAATTTAAATTCATACTACATAGTTCTTGATATTTCTTGGTGTTGATCCTGAAATCTTAATTTTTCTCATGCTGGTTTTCTGTCTATCTACAAGGTATTATTCCCACAACAATGAATATCTTGAAATTTGCCGTTGCTACAAGGCAATATATGAGATTCCATCTGTCAAAGAAAACCCTGCTGAGTTTATTCCTGTAGGATTCCTAATCTCTTCATTCACTATCTCTGTTACTGTATGATTCTATTATACAATATTGATGTAACGTTTTCTCCAAATATCATCTCTACACATACAGATCCTAAGGAAAATATGTTGGTTCTTGGTTCTTGCACCACATGAGCCAATGCAGTCGAGCCTTCTCAATTCCACTTTGGATGATAGGAATCTTTCTGAGATTCCAAACTTCAAGTATGTTGTCTTATTTTTCATGCTTGCTGGAGATGTTCAAATATTTTATTTAGGATTCTTTGTCACTGGGTTTATCTGTTATGTGTTGTGTCTAGGCTACTTTTGAAGAGTGTGGTAACCATGGAAGTCATTCAATGGACAGCTCTTTGGGATACATATAAGAGCGAGTTTGACAATGAGATGGTCTCTGGAAAGTTTTTGAGTGAAAAAGCAGCAGAAGATCTGAAACAAAGAATTATTGAACATGTGATTAACTTGTGCTTTTACATTTATTCTCATCCTATCAACTTTGTTGCTCGGTATTGTGTGATATTCTTTTTGTTTCTCAGTTATTCATGTGAGCGTTAACATGGAATAATTTTGTTAACCTTTCAGAATATTCTCGTTGTATCAAAATACTATGCAAGGATTACTTTGAAGAGACTTGCACAGCTTTTGTGTCTCAGCCTAGAGGTGTGTAATGCTAATTGTGATTTTATTCTGATAGCCTTTTTATGATAACTTTATTTTGATGTGTGGGAATTCCCCCCTAGCAAGTGTTTCAAAGAAAAAGTTATGTTCTTGCAAAGTGAAACTATTAGGGGATTATGGTTGGCGGGGACTGTGTATGCTGCGGTATTTCCTCGCTACCTCAAGCAGTTTAATCTGTTGTTCATAATTGTCCTGTATGTTAAAATAAAAGCTGTAAACCTGAAACTATCTTTTAAAGGGGATGTTCGTAATAAATTATCCTTGCATAATGCAGGAAGCTGAGAAGCATCTCTCAGAAATGGTTGTGTCGAAGGCTCTGGTGGCAAAGATTGATAGACCAATGGGAATAGTTTGTTTCCAAACAGCGAAGGATAGCAACGATATTCTTAATTCATGGGCAGCAAATTTAGAGAAACTGCTTGATCTTGTTGAGAAGAGCTGTCATCAAATACACAAGGAAACCATGGTCCATAAAGCAGTTTTGAAGGTTTAAGAAGATCCACATATCGGTAATTTTGCATTTTCCCCTCCTTTCTCTCGCCCTTCTGTTTAGTTTTCTCACTGTTGTGTTTAGAGGTAGTTGGACAATGGAAGTTAGTGATTAATGAAAATGGTAGCTATTGTTCATGTCTGGAATATTTTCTTTTTAACCATAATGCTTATCGCAGGTCCTTCAGGAGCTCCTTAATATGTGGTTTTGAACTGAAGCTGCCTTACCTGGAAGGTTCATTTGAAATGTTGCCCCGTTGTGTTGGTGAATAGAATTAAACAGTTGTCTCTTTCAATTTATATATTTTGTCATTCAATTGTTCAAGGAAGAGATGGATGAATGATTCTTAGTACTGGAAGTAGCTATGTTGTATACTACTGTTAAATACCTTACCACTGACTTACCAGACAGGATCCTAAACGGTCTTGTTTGTAGTAGTGGCAAGAAATTGAGTGTTCATTTATATTTTTTTGTCTCGTCATAATATTTACTTTCAACTTTTGGTCACTTTCATTTTATTTTGCAATTTGGTCACTTTTTTTAGTTTACACGCAAAGCAGTTGCTTTTGTTTTGGGCGAAGATTAATGTTCAAGTAACCGCTTGGGTGGGTTATTTCTACGGATGGGGTTAACAATTGAGAATAAATTTGTCAATGAAAAGGTATCATTGCTTCATGATCCGTGATAAACTTAATGACCTTCACTCACCTTGCGTTTATTTCAATCAAATTCGTTGTCTTTTTTTTTGGGTACTGTTCCTCGTAAAAATAAAAAGAGGCGTATGCTATTCAGGAACATTTTAAGATGTCGGGCTCAATCGGTTATTTTACCTAGTTTTATTGGAAAAAAATTAACTAAATAATTGTTTCACATGAGCAGTTTTCTTTTCAGTTTAATAGGGAAAATTAATCAACTTAACTCGCTCTCTTTTCTTCTTTATAATTTTCATTAGTGGATTATAGATATTTGAATGATTTTAGACACTATTCTTTAAGTCTCTTTTATTCAATTAAATATTCCATCTGTTTTTCATTTATCTGGCTGGACAAAATTCATCTGTTTTTCCTTTGTATTTTCATTCGACTAAATGCTCGGATAACCTTTTTATTATACCATTCATTTCAACTTTAAAAAACAATAGTAGTATCTTATCAATATTTACTTCAATATACACTCTTTTAATGTTTTTCCGATATCAATCCTAGCTTCAAAATTTCAAAGAAAAATCATTTTCTCACACTTTTTCATATTGGTTTTTTATATAATGATTGCTATTTCATTTTCCTTCTTTCTTTCCTGCGTAGTTTTTAATATTTCTACTATTCCTGTTGCCCTCCAGTTAAATAAAAGAAAAATAATACACATTCTTGCAATCTACTATTCTAAAATAAAATGGATGAGTATCAGCCTGAGGGAGAGGTGCTTAACTAGAAGACGATGCTGGCAACTGAGTAGAATAAACAGAAGGAACTGAAGAAGTTGTATCAGCCTGAGGGAGAGGTGCTATAACTAGAAGACCATGCTGGCAACTGAGTAGAATAAACAGAAGGAACTGAAGAAGTTGTCTGTGGAGAATTAGAAGAAGAAAAAGAATATGAAGCTGATGGTGCCATTGAACTCTGAAAAGAAGAAGCCATGGGAATGTTCTGACCATGAAAATAATCATAAAACTTATTTGAACCTTCCAAAGTATAAAGAGATTCTTCACTCTGAACCATTGGTGGATCAACAAAAGATTGTTGCTTGAGTCTAACATTTTCAGGGAAGTTGAGTTTAGCTTTGTTCCCTCTAAAACGCAATGCAGCTTGATCATAGGCTTTGGCTGCATCTTCAGCTGTTTCAAATGTTCCTAACCATACTCTTGTAGCTTTGAAAGGATCTCTTATCTCAGCAGCCCATTTTCCCCATGGCCTCTGTCTCACTCCTCTGTATTTTCTTTTTGGTTCATCTTCATTTGGCACATTATTATTGTCTGTTCTGTATTCATATATAGTTTCTTCACTTTGGTTCCTCTCTGTGGTTGTTACTGTATTCGTCCATTTGTTCGAACGTTCTCCAACTGCATTTCATAGAATCAAATCCATTAGTACATTACAAATTTGTTCGGTTAATTATATTCATAATATAAAATCAATATTCACCTTGATGCTTATTGTCAAAGAATCCACCATCTTCCCTTCTTCTCTTGAGAGCAGAAGAACTATCACCATAAGACAAAGAAGTTGACGATTCTATTGCAGAAACAAACGGCTTAATATCATGATTCATATTCTGATTCAAAGCATCGTCATCATTGTTGTGATCATCACCACATATGACATGTGTTAAAGCAGAGATCATAGCCGACATCTCTCCATCTCTATTAAGACCAGGAAACATCATTAACATTGACAAACCTTATATCTTGTACTTCAATATTTTTGTCAACTTTTCAAAAACACTTCAACACCAATAACTCAAACATGAAAAAAACAGTAACATAAGCATACATATATATAGATAGATTCTTGATACTGATTGCTAACCAGTTGACATGGCTAAGCATTGAAGTTTTATTAAGGATTAGTACCAGTGACGGGTCAAAACTCAAAAGAGTGGAAGTGTGAATGCCACCATATTGGTGGCATTCGTGTGGAGGGAAACAAGACGACGGTTTTGCAATTATTTCAACCTCGTCGGTGTTGAGCAAAAGGTTAAAAACAAAGCAGTGAATAGCCGACATTAGAATAATTAATTAGTTGAAATGTAAATCCTACCTAAGTAATTATGTTTGGTCACGCTGTTTTGTTTACAGTCTACAGTTGTAACCTAATTTGTTTGGTTGGATTTGGAATTTCATTGTTGTCAACTTGCATTTACAACTTTTATGTTAAGTTCATAGGCTTTAGATATTTGTCGATGCTACCAAATTGGCAAGTTGCATTCGAAGGAGTGTACAAGTTCATTGGTTTTAGTCAACGGTCGACGTGATTGATACGCGGTTTTAGTTGTGATCAATCATCATAGTATTCACGAAGGGATAAGAGGCATGAAGTACATTCTGCAACATGTCACACAGGATAGAGACAGACTTTTGAGAAAACTTGAATGCATAGGATCATAAATTTTTATTATTAAAAACAATTAATAAGAATAGAAAAAATATTTTATTTATTTAAAATTTAATTTCTTTTTAAATTGGCATTGAGATGATTGAGATTATGGAGAGAAAATATTATATTTTTATTTTTTAATTAATAAAAAAATGTAATTGATTATTTATAAAATCAAATATTATATTTGTGTGTACTTAAATTTTTTCCAGACACTTTGACAAATATCAAGTTTATTGAAATATATTTTCTACTTTTTTATTTTTACAAATGTATGACTATTTCATTTTTGTTAATAATCATGTGACACATGTGTATTGAGGTGGTATGATAAGAGTCTAGTAGTATCTATCTAAGACAAAATGTTTGAAAAATTCAAACTCACTATTAACTCCTTAACTCACTCACATGTCAATATCATACAATTTTTTAGAATAAACTTTAATTTTTCACTTTCTTTTAAAAGTATTCTCTTTTAAATTAAAAATTATTTTCTTTCACCCCTGATAATAACAATAGTAAGAACAGAAAGTAAAGAGTAATGTATGTACTTGAAAATTATCAAGTTAGTCTAGTCTATCCGCCAAGGTGATTTCGCCTCACTCAATCGATGATTTAATTTATTATAACCAAACTGATTATAATTTGCACAAATTACCCGCAAGTGACTAACAACTTCTAAGACTCTGAAGTCTTAGACTTCTTAAGGATTCAGACCTATCTGGTCCCCTAAGGAATATCAACCAATAATCAACATGATTATTACAATGCACAAGCTACCCGCAAGTGACTAACAACTTCTGAAACTCGCAAATCCTAGACTTCTTAAGAATACAGACCTACCCAGTCCCTTCAGAAAAATCAAAAAACTGTTTTAATACAAGTTTTATTTACAAGAGTATTGCTTCTAAAAAGCTGAATGTGTAAACTATTTTATGAACAATGACTTAAGAATGTGAAAGCTACAAACAACGTTTGCGCGTGACTATTCAGTGAATTGACAACTTTCTCTCTTAGTCTTCAAGCCTTTATATAGCAATAAAATAATATATCCATTGAGGGATACTTTTGGGATTTGCAGAAATATTGGCAGCTTGAAGAGTAACGTGGGAGACAAGATCGTGCGACGCATCTGTCCTTTCATGATAGTAGAATGAAACGTTAATTGTACCATGTACTATTTGTACCACGTTAACGTTATCTTCTTTTCTTCTATACTTCAGAGGCTTCTGCGAGCATGAGTTTAGAAGCGGGAACATAACATTAGGTTATCAAAACTTCAAGTCTTCAGAGTCTTCAGAACTGCATCTTTAGAGTCTTCAGCATTTGGTTGTGAGAACCTTTCCTTAAGATCTTGGGTCTTTAGAACTCCAAGTCTTTAGAGTCTTCAACATTTGATCTTCAAAACCCTTATCTTTAGAACCTTGTTATTAGAAATACAAATCTTCAGCATCTGGACTTCAGTAGAAACTTTGTATTCAGATCTTCTAACTTTGTTTCTTTGGAACACGTTGTCTTTAGAAGCTTGATTCTTTGGCATCTGGACTTAAGTAGATACTTGAGCTTCAGATCTTCTGACTGATTTCTTTAGAAAAAAATCAGAGCTTACACTTCAGAGCCTTCTGGAGTGTCTTGCTATTGTTTAACAGAACTTGTGTAGCGTAGAAGCGAAATCAATTCTCTTCTAATGTCTTGGCCATGCCATCCATTAGAAGCAAAATCTGTTTGTTAAGTACTCAACAATAACACACATTAGAGTATCAAAATTGTTCATACAAACATACTTATTTGTTATCATCAAAATTCAGAGATAATATTGCAGAACCAAATCTTATTCTTACAACCTCCCTCTTTTTGATGATGACAAAACTATGTATTTTGATGACACAATTTTGTTCTTATAATCAGAAGAAATGAAAATAGAAAGGTAAGGAATACTTATCCTTTTTATGATGCTCCCTGTTGTACCCCAATTTTTGCCCCTAAGATTCCTCTATCATATCATATCAACTCGATCATAACAAGATCACATTAGGGTTGGTTCTTCCTCTTTTTTCATCTCCTATCTTTAAGTTTGCTCTTGAGGAATTTCCAAACACCTTAGTTGTGTATTTTGTATATGTGTTGTTGACTAACTTCTAATCAAAATAAAAAAAAATGTTTGTCTTTATCTTTGTATATTTTTGTTTTGTAGGTACCAAGTCGAAGCATCTGACAAATAAGGATTTCTGGTATTATTTTCCTAAAATCTCTATTTGCAAAGGAAAAATTAACAAAAATTCATTTTTGTCACTAATGCAATCGATTGCTCTTAGAGTGCAATCGATTTCACATAGTGCATTTTGCGCCATTTTTGAAAAAATACACTGTGCAAATCGATTTGCACTATAGTGCAATCGATTGCACAACGTGAAAATTTGATAAAAAAAATCAGCATTTTAAGCTTGTCAAATTTTGGCTCCAATTTTTCTTCATTTTTGAAAGATGTATCATTAATTCAAATTTTAGCGCTAATCTTTCATTTTTAAGAAGAATTATCATTAATTCAAATTTTGGCTCTAATATTTGAAAGAATTATCATTAATTCAAAATTTGGCTCCAAGAATCAATTACCAAATTACCACTAATCCCAATCCTAAACTCTATAAATAGAGCCCTCATTTCATTCAAATTTCAAGCTTTTGATAGCCAAATCCACCTTGCTAAAAAATCTCTCAATTCTCTCCATCTACCAAATTCACTCAAAGCTCCATTTTCAAAAAGGTAGTAAGCTTTGCATTGAAGCTTACCAATCTTTGAGCTAAACCTTCATCCAAACACTTTTTCTTTATCAATTCTCTACATCCAAGCTTGAGCAATTGATTCTTGTGGTTGAATTGAAGCAAATTCTTGAAGTTGTTTTTAATAATTCTCTAGATCTACCTTTGGTAAGTTGGATAATTCATCTTTCACAATGTGATCTCTTGTTGATCTTTGGGTTTGATTCTTTGAGCAATATTTTGTGATTCCAATGGTGTTATTTTCTCATAATTTGTTATAATTTTCGTGCTCAATTGGATCCATGATCATAAGATATTTGATGGAAAGTTTGAACAAGAATTTGGCCTTTTAAAATGCTGTTTTGCTGTCTGTAACAGCGTGCAATCGATTGCAGTAACAGTGCAATCGATTGCACAGAAGCAATTTCGGGCAGATTTTTGAAAATTGTATTGTGTAAATCGATTTACACAGTGGTGCAATCGATTTACACAGGGACATAATGCATTTTTTTGCCTTGTTTTGGGGCAACTTTGATCCAAAATGCTTTTTCTACTCACTCCTTTTGATTGTTGGTTTTGATTGCAATTTTAAATGTCCAATTTCTCTTTAAACTCAATGGACTTTGAGATGTAGATGAAGTTGGAAAAATGTTCATCAATTCAAATCTACCTAAGAGTGAATTATTTAATTCATTTTTGGTGCTTTGGATTAATGATATGTTTAGTGCTTTAATCCATCTAGAGGAGTGGTTGAATTTAAAGATGAAAGAATTTTGAAATGGTAATCCAAATTAGCTTATCATTCCCCTCCCTCTTCATCTTATCCTTTTCTTTTTTAATTGTGCTACATGTTAAGGGATGGTGATCTCTATATCATTTATCCAAACATAAAGTACATAGATTGCTATTGACCGTCCTCAAAATAGGTGTGACTTCTACATAAGTCCAATTACGATTGCTTAACATAGCGCTAAATTTTGTCCCGATTCGAATAAATGATCATTCGTGGCCCAAACTGATGATTGCAAGCCCAAGTATGTTAACTTGATCTCTTTGATCCAATAACCTTGAGATTCATTGTGTGGAGGCTTTGGTTCTACCAATCCTCTAATGGATCTACAACAACTTTGGTCAACGCGGATCACTTAAACATCGTTGATCATTAAATGTTACTTTTGAGGATTCTAAAATGGATGATATACTTGACAAAAAGCAAATGCAACTTGTTGTGTGGAGGCTTTGGTTCTACCAATCCTCTAATGAGTTCCAAATGCAAGTTTCAAGATGGTCATCCAACTAACAACTAATTTCTAACAATTGAATTTACTTTATGCTTTTATTTTTAGGCTTTATGTACCATTTACTTTTAGCATTTTACATTTCATGCTATTTTCATCTTTGCTCACTTGAGCATTTAATTTTATGTCATTTTTATTTTTCTCACTTGAGCCTTTCTTTTCCTTTTAAAGACACTTAATAATCAACATGAACCATAAAAAACTTGAATGATACTTGGACTATTTGGTTACTATCCTTGGCATTATAGAGCATGAGACTATTTCTTGGACTTAGGATTAGAAACCTTGGCCTATCTTGGAGACCTTGTGATCTTATCTGATTATTTTGTCTGGAGTTCTTGAGGTTTACCTCAAGACATTGGGTTGTTTGTTTGTTTTGTGTGCATGTTATTGTGATTACACCCTTTGTTTGTAATCTGGAATTCACCCGTATACAGCTGTTACTCTGCCCAATTTTTGCGAAGACTTAATACACTTGAAGTTTGGTTCTCTCAAGAGGTCTAGTATCTTTGCTTGCTTGGTTTTAATCCGAAGAATGGGAATTCTATATTGACTCATAATGTCAAGTATTGG